GGGGTTTCTCATCTGGATCATATATAGTAGAACAAATCTCAAGACTTTGAAAATTTTAGTGCTTGGATATATATTTAATTTATCTATCTATCTATATTATTATAAAAGCATGAATACAAAGTCGGTTTACAAAAATAACCTTATAATATTAAGCATAATAACTCATAATAAAAGGATATAACCGGAATTCTAGATATTAACATTATAATCCTATTAGTTTTAGGACATAATACTACACGTTAGAATCCTACACGATACCAAGACTACTTATAAAAGGAATTGTAGCAACTAAGCGGCAGAATCACTTATATGGACGTTCTACATTTTGTTTAATCTCTATGCAAATGTAAATATTTCGCACATAAAGTAAAATCATAGAAGAGAAACTAATTGGAATTTGAAGATCACTATTCAATAATCGGATCTTGTGATAGAATGATAAACGAGAAGTCGAGAACCTAATTTTATCCAAATTTTAAGGTTATTAAATACAAATGGAGGACAAGTTATTCACCCAAATCACTTTTACTCTTATCTATATCTATATATGTTTATGTCTATCTATATCAATATTATTATAAGAGCATGAATAAAATGTTGGAGTACAAAAATAACATTTTAATATTAACCATAATAACTCACAATAAAGGGACATAATCAGAATTCTAGACATTAGCCTTGTAATCCTATTAGTTTTAGCCTTTTAGGACATAATACTACACGTTAAAAATCCTACATAATAACCTTTAAGAAACCTATTAGTATAATTTTTTGGCATAAATATATAATACTTCATGTTAGAATGTACACCTAATACGTTTAGGAACATGTTAAATTTTCTATTAGTATAATTACTTTGGGGATATGGACATATTTTTAGCCATGTAATCCTATCATTTTTAGGATATACTTCTTAAAAAATTTCTATTAGTAATTTAACTTAAAAACGTATTGTATTGTCCAAATCCATTTAGAAACATGAGAGTCTATATCTATCTATCTATATTATTATAAAAGCACAAATGTTCTATGCTAAATGTCGAACAACAAAAATATCCCTAAAATATTGATTGACATTTATACCCTTAATTATTTACATTAGTGTTTACAGAAAATCGTATGAAAAGGACAAAACTAGAAATACTACACACTAGGATAGGTACTTATAATAGAATCCATCGCAAATCAGGATCTCTTCAGCGGCGGTGATTTATTACAACACTAAGTGCACAAATATTGGTGGATTTGAATGTTATATTATATGCAAAATATTAATTAATATTTGAAGAGATTTAACTTCCATTTTTTATTCATGGTATCTTTATTTTCCATGCAGAATCCCAAATTAATATATATTTATATTATAAATTTTCTACCTAATTCAATAAGAAAAGATTAGTAATCAAAATTTTAGTTGATTATAAAATTATAAATATTAAAAAATAACTTAAATGGCTAATTTATTCTATTATATGCAAAATATTAATTGATTTTTGAAGAGATTTGACTTCTGTTTTCTATACATGGTATTTTTATTTTCCATACATAATCCCAAACTAATATATATTTATATTATATACTTCCTACCTAATTCAATAAGAAAACTAGAAAAGATTAGTAATCAAAATTTTAGTTGATTATAAAACTTTAAATATTAAAAGAATAAATTAAATGATAATTTTATTCGATGCATAATTTATCTTTAAAAGGAAAAAAAAGGATAAACGATATTATATTTCATTAAAGGCCTTCGGGCTTTTAATATAGTCTGTATCTATCTATATTTATCTATATATCTATCTATCTATATTATTATAAAAGCACGAATGTTTCATGCTAAATGTTGAACGACAAAAATATCCTTAAAACATTAATCAACTTTTATACTCTTATATTTTGTTAAAAAGATAGTTCCATATTGAATAAAATAATAATAATATCTAATTAATTTGCCTAATATTTAGGAATCTAATACCAACTAATGATAGAATTTCTCAATGTACGTTACCTCCTGCCATCATCCACATTAGAGGCGCATCCGGGATTTAAATCTTATGGGTTCAACTTTTAAGGTTTTTAGCATTGAACCCATTATATTTTTAAAGTTATGGGTTCATATCCGCTACTTTTGCAATTTTAATAAATTTTTACATATAAATTGTTACTCCGCATCGAAAGTTATGGGTTCAGTTGAACCCGTTGGTTGTTCACTACATCCGCCTCTGATCCACATCTCCTACACAGTTATACCAACAATCTCCTATATTATTCTTTTATTAAATGACCAAATATTAAAACTTTGAGTTGGACAATATCAATCAAACCATGCTCCTTATGATTATTTTTTAAAATTTAATTTGAAACTCTTTCATAAATAATTGACTTAAAAATCTCGTGTAACGCACGAACATAGAAACTAGTAACAGTAAACGTATAAAGAGCTTTTATATTATTAGTATATTAAACCTATTGTCGCACGTTAAATACGGGGCTTATATTTTTAGGTTGCTAATTTCACATTATGAACACTTGTTTATATATTGTTTTAGATGATCTGATAATATCTCATTATATTGAAAGTTGAGAATTTCGCTTCTAATGGATGGGATAGCGGAGAGAAAGAAAATAATCTTCCTCGTGCGCGCGCGCACACTTGTATGAGTCAGAAATTATCTTAGTTATGTTTAAACAATATCAGCATTAAAAAGGGTGCTTCAAAGGCTGCCACGTGTCGCCGGTGTGACTTCGATAAAAGGCATAGTCGGGGTCGAAGTTACCTAACAAGAAATGAAAGGCGGGGTCGAGGAGTCAATATAGATTGAGGTCGAGGACGAGGACTCTTCTTAAACAGAGTAATAACAGCTAGTTTTAGGATAAGACTTCAAAGAGAATATTTCAGTGAATATTCTCTGGATCTATATTATTAGGGTTTTATGACACATGCTCCCTTATAAATAGAAAGAGACAGTTATAGGGGACATGAAACACCCGCTTGTAAGACAACACATTGACATTCTTTGAAGATTCTTGTTTTATTATACACATACAAAATATACCTATTTCTTGAGATTCTTGTCTAACTTTTCTCCCACGATCCAAGGAGAACCCGAATATTCAAAGGCCCATCAATACCAAAGAATCTCATCTTCAGGTGACTCACATACTTTTATTTACTTAAATATCATTCATTGCTATTTATTATTATTTAATGTTACCTCCTTCATTCTGGGATCATTGAATATAACCATATTGCAGGCATTTATTGCTACTTAGATAATACCCGTATTATCTTGCCACGAAATCGATTTAGACGTCTTTTGATATTAACATTGATTAAGAGTAACTCTATTTTATTAGTAACATAAATCTAAATTTTGGGTCAAACAGCATTATATTTGGCAAATAATCTTCCGGGTCTATATTAATTTTCAATTCTTTAAAAATATTTCGTCAATTACTACGTTCTACCTCCTCTTCGGCCTAGGTATCCACCTTGAGCCTTTCCTCCTAATTTAGATGACACACTTTCTTTATTAGTCCGTTTCAAAAAGAATAACACATTTCTACAATTAGAAATAATTTAACTTTAAATTTTTTATTTAACCATTTTACCCTTAATAAGAAGCTTTTACACTCACAGAAATGTCATGGCCCCACAAAGCTTTTAGCCCTACAACTTTTAAGACCATAAGTTTCAAAAGTCTTTTTAATTTTCCTCTTAAACTTCGTGCCGAGTCAAATAGAGAGAGTACTTATTTTTGCGCACAAACAAGCAGGGTGGATCTACCATGTAACTTACTGCTTAAATTTTTGTCTAAACTATAGTATTTATTTATTGAGAAATTTATTAAATAAGTATAAATATTTACTTCTAAATTCAACTTCTTTTTTTTTTGTGTGTGTGTACATTAACTTGAAATTGCTGTAGAAATTTATAAACTTCAAATTCTAGATTTGCTTCTGTAAAAAAAATTAACATTCAAGTAGTAATTTGAATTTTGAAGAACTAGGGTTCAAGATTTCGAGCATTGGAAACCTCCATAACCACGAACTTTTTAACAATGTCAATTTTATTTTATTCATAGTAACTGAGTTGTATCCTTGTTTTAGGCAGAATGTTTTTATTGACTGGATTTGATCTTTTTTTACTTATTATATTTATTACTTTATTGTTTTTCTTTGGAACGTTAATTAGTTGGATCATAAATTATTCGACCTGATTTATTCTTTTATTCATTTGTATTACTTTCTTAAAGTATACTTAGAAATCTGCTTTGCAATTTGAATTCAAAATATAAACAAGTACTTGTCATTTAATTTGAATAATTCCTTCATTTGGTCCCCTACATTATAGACTTTTAGTAGTATAGTAGCTTTTTGAGTGTTTTAAGTTTAATTAATTAAACTTATTTTAACTTGTCTTATTTTTCAAAGTTATCCTATTTTTTGTGGACATCTACATACATTTTTTTTAGACAAATTTTCACTCCATAAATTTAAACTCTGTTTAATATTATTGTATTTCGAGTTTTTTCTAACTTTTATACACTGATTGTTTTTTTTCTTATGCTATTAGTTCATCTAAAAGATAATTATAGATTATATAACCGTATATAAGTAGGAGAAGTTACTAAAAAAATAAGATAGATTACCTATTGTGTCATATGATAACATATAAATTATTTACGTTATATTATTAGTGTATATAAATTAAATTGATTTGATTTTATTTGTAAGCTCCAATAATTTTGTTATATTATATTGATCATATCAATTAGTATTTATTTATTTCAACGCCTATTAAGGGAGCCCCATGCATGAACTGTTTTCAGATTTCAGGGAAAAAGTTAAGGTGGACTAACTTAGTGAAGTTGAAATTTGATTATAAAAAGGACAATAAAAAGGACAAAAAAAACAGCAAAAAGTTTGCATTATCAGACCTTTTTTTAAAACTTTCTCATTTTCAAAACTGTTCTTCTTTCAGTTACTTTATATATAAACTCTCATTCATATACTCATAATTGTATAATAATTCTCTCTTCAAACTCTTCTTCTTCTTCTTCTTTTCTTTCTTCTCAAATGGAGAATAAATTTAAAACAAGAATTTCTCGAATGTTTAAATCTTCTTTTGGTTCATGCAAATCAAAGAATATTTCTGATGCCATTGATAATAAACCAGTTTTTCAACCTCAACATTACCAATTAGTTGAACTTTTCTCTCCAAAACCTCGTCCATTTCCTTCCATTTGTGCACCAAAATACCCTCAAAATTTCCAAACACAACAACAAAAGTGTTTACTTCCCAACAGTGGCGTACGTAGAAATTTTATGCAAACAGCTGTGTCGGTCTACTGTCACAATTCAACTTGTAAGTAATCAGTTTATGTCCGGTACTATGTTTTTTCTTTAAAATTTTACCTCGTCTCAAACAATAACTTAGCCAAAGGCGGATCCATGACTCAAATTTTATGGGTTGAGCCTTTAAAGTTTTTATCATTGACTCGTTGTATTATTTTTTTTTAATTACGGGTTCAAATATATTAGTTGTTGCAATTTTGACACATGAATTTATGCACCGCGTCAAAAGTTATGGATTTAATTGAACCGGAGATATTAGAAGGCTAGATACGCCCCTGAACGTAGCTTCGAGGGTAATTAGTTGAATACTTTTCGTTGAAAAATTATATATTATGCATACATATCAAATATTTATTTTTTGTACATATATATTAAATCTTAATATATTGACGAAAGTGTTTTATTTTTACAGCTGAGACAAATGGAAGAAAATGCCCTCCAGCATCACCAATTTATCCCTTGAGTTATGATTCTCAAGAGAAATGCAACTTCAAAAATATGAACAAATATTATGAAAAGAAAACCCAGAAGAAGAAGAAGAGCAAGAAGAAAAAGATGACAAATTCAAATATAAAAAGATTTGATTTTAAAGAATTTCCTAATTTTAATTATAAGGGTCTTTTCAGCAGTGATGAAGAAAGTGAAGAAGATGACAATAATACCCTTTTTTCATCAAGGTCATTTACTAATTCTGATTCTTCAGAATATTCTTTCCGGCGAAAGACACGGCGGAGAAGGGTGGCGAAAGGTGGTGTTAAAGGTAGTCTTGCGGTGGTGAAGAAATCAAGTGATCCTTATAACGATTTTAGGGTTTCAATGTTGGAAATGATTATGGAAAATCAAATATTTGCAGCTAAAGATCTTGAGAAATTATTGGAATGTTTTTTGAGTTTAAATTCACATAATCATCATGAGGTTATTATTGAAGTTTTTACTGAGATTTGTGAAGCTTTGTTCTCTAGTTGGTCTTAGGAAAAAAAACAAATCAAGAAAATTAATGTAATATGTTTTTTTATGTAGCTTTGTTTTTATGTCATTAATGAAAAGTAGTAGCTAGTACTCTTAATTGATGTTGATAGTATTTATGTTAATGTAATTATAATTTATTATCCATATTGTTCTTGTAGTATTACTTCTTCTTTCATCCTAATGATCTCTTGCCAAAAGTGGTTATTTTTCAAAATAAGAATTTAACTTACATATATTAATAATATAAAAAGTTCTTTCAGGTTACAGTTTATAAGGGTTGTTTGGTACGCAAACTAAACTATCTAGTGATTATAACCCTGATTTATCATACTTGAAAGGTGGGATAAAATAATCCCAAGTTTGATGGGATAAGGACGGATATCCAGTATTAAGTCTAAGATAATTTTATTTACCATGTTTGATTTTAGATAAATATATACCGTCAACTAAAGATGATATAAATTTAATCACACACCTTATCCCACATTATCCGACGTATATATCAAACGACCCTTAAATTCTTACATTATCATGTTGACTTGACCTACAACAACGAGTATGTCTTTGTAATAGAATAGTAATCGGCTAGAAATATAATTGTTTACATTGTATTAATATTGTAAATAAAATTTATACTTTCTGCATATGAAGCTTAATTTATGAACGATTAACTGTAATTATTTTTATATTGTGAAAAGATAAATCAAAAGCAGAAGAAGAAAAGGGAGGGCAACGATTTGATAGTAGACTGACAATAAGAAGAGATATTAAATGACAAAAAAGTCTATGGATAGTTCTAAAAGGTAATTCACTTTATAAACATTTGATTGATGTAAATAATGCATTTGTCTCATTTTCTTTCAAATATTTTGACTTATGAAAATTTTGGTTTGGCACAAAATTCAAGTTGATGAATTGGATTACAAAAAAGTATAGCAGGGTTCGAGAAAAGATCGCAGTCAAAAGATATAATGTAGGCAACCTACATTTAAATTAAAGGGTCGTTTGGTTGGAAACAAGTTATCTCACCATTAATTATTTCAGTGGCGGAGCCACATGGTCACAAGGGTGGTCATCTGACCACGCTTTGTTGAAAAATTACAGTGTCTATATAGGTAATTAAAATATTACGTTTTAGAGGTATATAACACATATTGAACAACCTTTGTCGGGATTTTTTTTTACTTTTTTCAAATACCCTTGGAAAAATTTCTAGCTTCGCCACTGAGTTATTTCGAGATTAGTTATCTCGAAATTGTTGTTTCACCCTTCCATAGGGATAAAATAACACTATAATCCCCGGAATTAGTTATATTGCAAATCAAACGTGGGATAAATTCATCTTAAATTTAATCCCGAACTAATTATCCTTTAGCGTACCAAACGAGCCCTAAGTACTCACATTTTACGACTCAAACTCGTGATTTATAGGTCATACGAAAACCATTTTACCCTCACCTAAGACTCCCTTCGAATTAGACACAAAATAATAAGAATAAAAAAGAGGAAGAGTCAATACATTTCAAATGACTCAATTATTAGAGGAGCGTTTTATGTATTGATTTTGACTCGTAACATAAATGCCACCTTGCTTTTAATTTTATAATAATATAATGTGTCATTTTGCCCCTTCATAATTGAAAGTTTAATGATTCAAATCAGAGAATTGAATGCATTTAATTTATTTATCAATTCAAATTTGGAATATGGGGTTAGGTATTTATTTTCAACTTGAATAGTTAAAAAATCTGGCTATTAATTAAATTTATCAATATTCATGAAAGAATCTATAAAAGAATCTGCAAACATCACTATATACTGTCTACAGTTAAGTAATCAGATGATAAGCTACTTTATATCTGCCAAGTCAGAATATAACTTTTTCCTTTCTTTTTCTTGTTCAGAAATTCTTATCCAGTTTGCCAATTTTATCAATTTTAACAATTATAGGAATTGACAGTTATAGATTCAGAATTTAAACTTTATGTATTGAACCTTTAGAAATTTTAGAATTGAATTTATAATATTTTTAAGGTTATGAGTTCATATTTATTATTTATTAGAAGTTTATTGTGTGTTTACACGTATACTTCATTAAAAATAGTAAGTTCAGATGAACCCGGTATTCGGTATCCCAAAGCTACAACTCCCTC